CGCACCTCGACGAACCTCGACACCAGGGAGCCTGCTTCCCGGCGGCACCGGGCGTCCATGCGGAACAAAAACCAAATCCCTTTTCCCCCGATGGTAACAGGTCGGACTCTTTCCCAAAAGCGGAAGCACCGGGAAGTTCGACGCCTGACCTAGGACGTATCCTCAGAAAGTTGGCTTGCCGGAATCCTCCTCCCTCCTAGCGTCCCCCGCCACCGGTGCTCCGTCTCTCTTGGCACCGGCCGGTGTGACTGCGGGGTCTTGCTCGCCCGGCCTTCCGAAATCCTCTTCGGTCGGCTGGGAAGGAGCGCCCGTGGTAATGGCAAGGGACCGTTTCTCAGCCGGGTCCGGTCGCAGTGCATCAAGGAGCTGCGAACGGGCACGGGATATAGACCTCTCCGCGATCGGGACTGGCCGTCCGGTCGCAAAACCCTCCCCTTGAGCGGGGCCCCCATGAGCCCCGGCACCTAATAAAAACTGGGACCCCACTCCTGACGATGGATATCTTGGAACCTGGCTCGATGAAGAACGCAGCGAAATGCGATACGTAATGCGAATTGCAAAACTCCGTGAATCATCGAAACTTTGAACGCATGTTGCGCCCGAGGCCTCGGCCGAGGGCACGTCTGCTTGAACGCCACACACATCCAGGTGGAGCCACGCATCCGCACCCACACCCTCCGCACGCGGCTACGTGCGGCCGGGTGAACGGGACGGAACTGCCAAAATGCGTCGGCATACGAGGGGCGCTCGGGTTTTGCTCGAGACAATCGCCCGTACCTGGGAAAACGAGATGGCCGTCGCAACCCGTGCACAACGGGGGGCAGTCGGCTGAAATCGCAGGGCCGCCGCAAGCCCGTCTCCTCTCCGTCTCGACCCCAGTGCAGATCCCCGGATGCCAACCGGGAGGACGCGAGCGGGACGAGCGAAACGAGGCGGGTGGCGACCCCGCTGGGCTCGGTGAACCCAGCCGGCCAACGGACCCCGTCCGGACCTCCCAGCAGGTGGGGGGGTATCGGATGCCAAACCGTTCCTCTTTTCCTCTCCCGAGAAGGCCGCGAAACGGAAAAATGGAGCCGAGGGCGTGGCAACCCTCGGTCTCCGCCCTCCAAAGTAGCGTGCACGGACCGGGCGAGGGGCGGACGGGGCCCGTACAAAAATGGTCGGACCGGGGAAGAACCGGGCAAACCCCCAAGCGATGGCTTCAAGTCAGGCGAGACCACCCGCTGAATTTAAGCATATTACTAAGCGGAGGAAAAGAAAACAACCGTGATTCCTTTGGTAGCGGCGAGCGACCAAGGAAAAGCCCAGGCTTGAAATCCGAGGGCCTCCGGCCCTCCGAATTGTAGTCTGAAAAGGAAGCGTTCTCTGTGACGGGCGCCGCCTTAAGTCCACTGGAAAGTGGCGGCAGAGAGGGTGACACCCCCGTCGGGCGACGACCCGTCACTTCACGAGGCGCATCCGAAGAGTCGGGTTGCTTGGGAGTGCAGCCCCAACATGGGTGGTAAGCTCCATCCAAGGCTAAATACGGCCAGGTTTCCGATAGCGAACAAGTACCGCGAGGGAAAGATGAAAAGAACTTTGGAAAGAGAGTAAAAAGTGCTTGAAATCGTCAGGAGGATAAGCGCATGAGCCCAAGCACACCTGCGGGACCCGTTCACGCGGGGCCCGGAGGTACGCAGCGCCGGTCGATGCCGCGGGAAAAGGAGCTCGCTCCCACCGCGGCGGAGACCGAGGATGGCCCTCACGGGTCGGCGCTGGCGAAACGGGCTGATGCGACCCGTCTTGAAACACGGACCAAGGAGGCCAACGCGGCTGCGAGCCAATGGGTTGAAAACCACAATGGCGACAGTGAAAGCGACCCGTGAGAAGGCGGCCTCGTGCTGCCCGCACCACGGACCGCCCCGGGGGCCTCGGCGCCCGGGGTGCGTTGAGTAGTCGCGTTGGGACCCGAAAGATGGTGAACTATGCCTGAGCAGGGCGAAGCCAGAGGAAACTCTGGTGGAGGCCCGCAGCGCTACTGACGTGCAAATCGTTCGTCAGACTTGGGTATAGGGGCGAAAGACTAATCGAACCATCTGGTAGCTGGTTCACGCCACTCCAGTTGAAATAAAAAACTCTCATTGCACTCAAGCTCTCAAACACTCTCAAGCGCTCACAAGCGATCCTGCTACCTACAACTGCCTTCGAACGCCTGCCAAGCGATCAGTTAGATTAGGAAGTTTGAGAGATTTCAACGCGCGTGTCCCACAGAAACCGGGTAGTACCCGCCTCCCTGCACAGGGTGGTGCCGGCTCGGCTGAAGCGGCCTAAGGGGTAGTGGGGCATTGGGGCCCTGCGACACCATCTTACTGCAGGAAAAGCTGTGGCACTGTCGGTACCAAGCGGACCTTCGTCGGTCTCGTGGCCCGCCGGCCTTACGGCTAGGCGGGGTATGGTCACAACCCGACAGCTGGAAGCCGATCTGCAGCGAACCACGGTTAGTGGGAAGTACAGACACTATATGGTGGTGGGTCTTCCGGACTCTGACGGAAGGCTTAAGAAAGAGCGCTCTGCGGGGAGTAATCTTCGCACTATGAGTCCGCCCATACAAAGGGCGGCCGATGGCAAGCCACAACGCCGTCGAGGGAAGAAGCACCTAGCCCTTCCCGCCCCCGGGCCCCAACAGGGCGAGCCAGCCCGTCTTGTCCCTGTTGGGGAGGTTCAAAGGGATTCGCCACCCCTGAAGGACCCCGAGGCCCTCTCACTGACGGTGTACGTTGGCGCCCCTGCATCTCGCAGAAAGGGCAAGCGCTCTGCCAAAGCGCTTGACCTTGAGGAGACACCAACAAAGAAGCAACGTCCTGAAGAGGGCCCCGGCCAGACGTCTGCTGTTCCGCAGCAACCCTTGGACTTGCCCACTGGCTACGTGCCAAATGTGGTCATAGTCCATCCACCCGGGCACGACAACCAGCAACAGTTGGAAGTGCGAGGTCGGAAACAAAAGAAAAGGAAGGCCGCCGCTGAGGCGAAGACACTCACCGAAACAGACTACCCGCCCCCTCCAAAGATCGTTTTCTTCGAACCTGTGTTGAACACGGTCGAACCGTCTTCGGAGCCGGAGAAGGCAATTCAGAACCCCTTCGACGGATCAGGGACACACCTTGGAAAACCCGCCCCGGAATTTCCGGGATTCAAAGCGGGCGAACAAGGTGTCCCAACGGTGAGCGGTGACAGCCTCAACACCAGCAACCTCTCGTCAGTGGTTGCGAAATGTAAAGGTTGTCACCACGTCTTTTGGGGACAGAAGATCCGCAAAATTCGTAAGCGGCATCGATGCCCCCCAGCCCGGCCCGACTCAGCCAAGCCGAGGGAAGCACTACGGACCAGTCCAGAACCCAAGGCGCAGGGCTCGTTGCCTGTGCTCGAGGGAGATCAGACCGCTCCGGAAGCGGCTCCCCAGGCGAAAGCTGGGCCTGAAGAGGTCCTCGGGGATGACTCCCAGCAACACCCACTCAGTGGGGCCGCTGGACAAAGAGGCACCCCCGTCCCTCACTCCGACAACCCGGCACATCCAGCTGAAGCTGGGCCCGACGTGGACATGAGGACCCTGCCTGTCGATGATCGGAATAGCAGCCAGTCACACCGCGAGCCACTCCCGGATACCCAAGGCCGGGATTCCTTTGACCGCCTCATTGACATGATGATCGCCCTCTCAGAGAAGGTTCAGACAATGTCTAACCAACTCGAGGAGGTGCGTCGTTCTGTTTCTGCTGGCGAGAGGGAGGTCGCTAAGCCAGCCACGGAGAATCTGGGAGCCATTCCCGACATTCCCACGGCTAGCGAGGCAGCCTCGGCCGCGCAAAGTCCATCCCTCCCTCCCACAAAAGGGGTGGACTCGGGTCACAAGACCAAGGGCAAAAAGCCGAAGCAGAAGAAGAAGAAGAAGAAGCCTAAGCCTCGGGCCTCTCCCTCACCTTCGACTGCTACGGCCCCTGCAGCACCTGCAGTGCCGACCTCGACTCCAAAGCCGTCGGGCGAAGCATCCCCCCCTGCAGTGGCGCTGGTTCCAAAGTCACCGGGCCCCCGCCCCAAGGGGAGGGCAGCGTGGGGCGAGCTTGGACCTCGCGACAAGTCCCAAGCAGTGACGCGGAAGGCGGGCGCGGCCAAGCCACCAACCTTTGCTGCTTCGAGCTCGGAGGATGCCTCTGCGCCAACCAAAGCGTCAAAGGACCCATCAGCCGCACCTGCAAAATCCGACTCCAGCGCTATCAGTCATGGGGGCCAAGCAAAACTCCCAAAGGGCCACCGGTGCACTTTCTGCAGCCGCTTGTTCCGCAGCCGCAAGGAGGTTGAGGACCACGCCAAGCGGAAAAAATGGGTGCGCAAACCGGGACGCGCAGCGGGAGGACCAGCTCCGAGACAGAAAGCGGACGGTCTCTTCAACACCGGAGGGCTGCGCAGCGGTAGCAGACGAGGCGGAATACTGGGCCAACTTTGAGGCAATAGACTGGTCACCCATTCTTGGAGAGGAAGCGGCTATGCTGCCTACCCTCCGCAAGGTGCCTTTCAAATGCCGAGGGCTGGCCACCGCCTGTCTCCGTCCAATTCTTGAGAAACTCCGACAGGATGGGGACCATAAGCCGGCCGGGACTCTGCTAGGGCTTTTTCCGCAGCTGTGCCTATCAACAGCTGCGCTCTCGAACGACTCCCCTCACTGGAAGCAGGTGCGGGAGCTGCTGACCTTATGGAGGCGCGGGGACTGGACCAAGTTACACCTGCGCGCCCTGGCGGCTATCAACAAAATGAATAGCAGGGTTCGAGAGAACAAGGCCCGAGTGGACGACCGGTACGGCAGTGCGGATACACTGGCGCGAACACGTCGCTGCATCAAGTTCGGGGAGCTGGCTGAACTCTCACGAGCAGCAGAGGCGCTGATTGCGGCAGACCTTGCCCCAACCACGGACGAGACTCGTAAGAGTCTGGAGGAGAAGCACCCCCGCCCCACGGTCCCCTTCACAGCAGAGGACGGCAGCTGCACCCTTCCTCACCCGGAGAAACCCACGAAGTGGGTCCTGAAGCAGGAAGTTCTCGCGCGGGCCCTTCGCGAGAGCCCTCGTGGCTCTGCAGGCGGTCCCACCGGCTGGCGCATGGACTTCTTACGCGAACTCTTCACGCACCCCAGAGACCTCAAACTCCTGGGGGCATGGCTTCAGGCAGCAGCAAGAGGGGATGTGGGGCAGGGGGTGGCGCAGTGGTGGACCTCGAGTTCGCTAGTGGCTTTGGAGAAACCAGGTGGCGGTGTCCGCCCGATCGCAGTGGGGGAAGTCTTCCCTCGCCTCCTGGCCCGGTGTCTCGCGGTCGACTACCATGACGCCATCATCCGACACCTGAAGCCGAAAGGGCAGTTTGGGGCTGGTGCGCGGAACGGAGCGGAGACGGTTATCCACGGGGTGCGCGCTGCATTGAAGGCTAACCCCACCTGGGGCGTTCTTCAAATCGATGTTAAAAACGCTTTTAACTCAGTTTGTCGGCAGGCGCTCTTCAAGGAGTTGGTCAAGGGCCCATTTGTGGGCATGACCCCGTTTCTGCGAACCCTCTACGGGAGTCCCTCCCCACTCTTGTACAGAGCCGATGCAACACGGCACACCTTGTGGTCGCGAACAGGAGTGAGGCAAGGGGATCCTCTGGGGCCGTTTCTCTACGCACTAGCACAACAACCTGCTCTGGAGGCGGTGAAGGCGGCGCACCGAGACGTCTTCTTATGCAGCTATGCGGACGATACGTACCTGCTGGGGGAGCTGGACGCGATTGGAGCTGCTTTCCCTTCCCTTTGTAAGGAGCTTCAGGGGATCGACTTGGAAGTCTCGCAGAAAAAGTGCCAGTGGTACGCGCCGAGTGGCAAGCGGCCGTCCGCCGACAACCCGCTCTGCGAGATGACCGAGGCTGCGGAGGGCCTTGTGGTAGTTGGTTCTCCAGTTGGTAGCAAGTCTTTCGTCGAGGCTGCGGTCTTGACGAAGATGGAAACTGGGCAGTCGATCTTGGGCAAACTGCCTCGGATCAATCATGCTCAGATGGCCTCCCGGATCCTGGCAGGATCGGTCTCGGCGCGGCCTAACTTCTTAAGCCGCACCACACCACCGACTTCTTGCTTCCGGGAGACCCTATCACTCTGGGACACTTCCATGTTGTGCTGCTTTTCGGAGATCCTGAACGACGACAGCTTACTCAACCCTGGCAAGGTTAACAAGGCAGCGCAGACGCAGATCACTCTACCGGAACGGATGGGTGGCTTCGGGGTCCAATCAGCCGCGAGGACAGCTGACTTGGCGTATGTGGTCAGCCTTCTTAGTGTCGCTGGGACCCTGAAGTCCTTCTTTCAGATGGGAGGGAAGAGCATTCTCGGAGTCGAGGACAGCGAGGCGCCTTTCCCGCCCATCTTTGAGGAGGCTGAGTCGGCGCTGAAAAGGCTTCCAGAAAAAGTCCGCACGAAGCTGCCTACGTGGAAGACAGTCGGGGAGAGAGGGCTTGAACGCGGAACTTTCACGGTTTTGGCACGGGAGCTGCAGATTGAGGCTTTGAACGGGATCCGGAAGTCCCTTAACCGGCCCCGCCACAAGGCCCGATTGACCAGTTTGCAGCTGCAGAACGCGGGCGCGTGGGTCTCGGCTCTACCGTCTCGACCGGACCTCCAGCTCGAAAGCGACGACTGGGCGATTGCGGCGAACCTTCGGTTGGGTCGGGACATCCCACACCTCATTCAGGCGGGGACTTGCTCGTGCGGGAAGGACTTATCCACTTGTAACGCGGCGGGGCATGCTCTCAGGTGCTCCACCAAGTACGCGCCGTCTATCCCCCACAATGCCATCCGGGACCATGTGGCGATGGTCTGCAGGGAGGCGGGCATGCAGACGACGATGGAGGATAAGGCTTTTTTCGGTGGGAAGCCGATCCCGGATGTCGTGAGTCTCCACACGGACAGCGGGAAGACCTGGGTGATGGATGTGGTCATCGCGGATCCGCACGATAACAATGCCAACTGCCCGGAGACCAAGCCAGGAGCGGCCCTCAATGAAGCCGTTCGTCGGAAGAAGGTGACCTACAAGGAGGCGGTGACGAAAGGAGGGAAGCGGATGGAGAAGACCACCAAAGTGATTCCGTTGGCTACGGAGATCTATGGGGGTTGGTCCAACAGCTTCTCCGACTGCGTAAAGGACATTGCAGCAACCACTTCGAAGCGGCTTGGCAGACAGTCGGGGCAAACCACCGACCTCAAATCTCTCATCTGCCGGAGCATCGCTCAACGCATTGGAGTGACGCAGCAACGTTCTCAAGCGGTCATGATTCGGCACAGGTTGCGCGCAGCAGTGGAGGCCAAGGGAGAAACGATGTACCAAGACGCAGGGAGGACTTTTGACTGGATGGGCTCTCAGCCACCCGCTCCCTGCGACATTGTGGTAGGAAGGGTAGATTTCTGAATAGGGTATGACTTTGCATGCTCTGTAGTCGGGAATAGGATAGAAG